ATCAAAAAGCCTTGCCGTGCAATGTCTTATATTTTCTATTCCAGTGTTGGTTCGTCATCAGTGACTAAAGATACCATATACAAGGAAAAAATAGCCTGCAGCCAGTTCTAGAAAGAGAGTGAAAGGAGGCCAGAGACAAAAGATTATGTTAGAGGGATAAAAGGATGAGAGGGTGAGGGAGGAAAGGAGGGTGTAAGTGATGTTGGTGGTGCTCCGTCGGTGGCGGTAGTGGTGGTGGTGGGTGCTCGTACACGACCAGGGTTATGATGAGGGAAAGAGAGAAAGAAAGAGAGAGAGAGAGGAGGAAAAGAGATGTGGTTATAGAGGATTTATGCGGTTGTTGTTGTATTCAAACCTGTCACTTCACAGCTGACAGCGGAGCGCAGTGATGTTCAGGGATCAGCTGCAAAACAGCTCGCTTCTGAAAACCCACTTTTTAACCACCTGAAACTGAATCTCTGGATATTCAACTAACAACTCTCACCCTTTTTTCCTCCCCCCCCTCCTCTCTCGCTCCACGATGTTCTTCTTCCAGCTCGTCATCATGTCCGGCACAGTGTTGTTGGCCTACTACATGGAGTGCACGGACCTGTTCGGCGTGCACGTGCAGGGCTTCTTCTGCAACGACGCGGAGCTGATGAAGCCGTACCCCGGCACAGAGGAGTCCAGCTTCATCCCCCCACTCATCCTTTACTGTGTGGTGGCCGCCGCTCCCACCGCTGTAGTGAGTAACACACATTTCTTATTTGTGTTTCTCAGCAGGGTGTAAACAGCGACAGATGTGGCATGCATGGTTATTCAGGTGGTTTCCAGCTCAGCGGAACAGAAACCACGTGTTCTCTGCTTTTCACACATGAAATCTCCTCTTTTCTTAGTAGAAGTAGAAGCAGCAAATATGCAACTCTGACATGGTTGCAGCTTTTCTTTCTGAAACTGTAAAAGTGACCTGCAGTAGTTGAGGCAAATAAAGACGTGCTGCAGGATCCTGAAGCTGCTTGTTCACCTGTTTATTTAAAGTTCAGTTAAGCACAGAACCCGAACTGGAGTTCCAGTCTCCGCTGCTACTATATTGAACAGATCATGTGTTCTTCTCTGCTCCAACTACACATATACAGGTTGTGAAAAGAGAGAAGGTTCTTGAGATATCACTTCCTTTCATCATAGCAGGAAAAACTCCAGTGTAACTTGAATGACACTTTCTGTTTCTCATACCTGCAGAAAACAAGTAGGAAGATGTTTAAGACTTTGTGTGTTTAAGAGAAAAACATGAATGGATCCCTCCTTCAATTTGAAGCCCCACCACAATGTAAAGGGTACTTCCCAGGCCCAGTCTCCACCAAGTTTGATGGAACTCAGTTTAGTAGTTTTTTGTTAAATTCAAACAAACTGAGGTGAGAACATAACCTCTGTATAAATAATGATAGTAAAATAAAGAAGCATTAACAGGCTGTGTTCTGTTTAGATGTCAGCATACATCACACAATGTTCACTGGTACAGTTAATTGGAATGCAGCCCTCATTCATGACGTTAACACACTCTTGCGTTACCTGCGGTGAGATGTGGAGAAGATTTGAAATCTTTATCTGACTCTTCCTGTCTAAGCTGCTAATTTGTAAAGCTGCATGACGGCTTTAGATAAATCTAGGACAGTGGCTGCAGATGCAGCTGCGATTCCAATGTCACACAGACAAAGTGGCACGATTTAGCCACCAGGTGTCAGTGGTGCTCCGTGCGCCAGGCTCCACATGTCTCAGAGCTTCTGGGTCAGTTCATTATGAAACAAATGGTGTTTGGATGTGAGCGTCTTTAACAACATGATGAGTTGTTTCATGTTTGACACAGATGCCGGAGCGCAGATGTAGAGTAGAGGGGTTCAGTCGGCTTTGAACAGCTGTTTGAGATCCTGCAGTGCGTTCATGTTAGAGGTGCAGGCCGTCTGAGGCGTAATTACATCATATCATACTGTATTAATGTGTTAATTGATAAAGCTGTGCAATCAGCCGTACAATTAAATGAGTGAAGAGAATTCACCTTCATCAGTGATTTGTAACTGCTTTAATCTCCAACATTCACATTTTGATTTATTTAACACCAGATTAGTTGTTTTTTCAGATCCACAATAGTTCATTTAACAACATTTCTACATTCTTAAACAGTCTTAATTATTTAGAAATATTGTGTCCTAGGTCTTAAATGCACGTAGATGTATCTTAATAATGTTAAAGTTCGTTTAACGGAACTTTGAAAGGATTTTCTATAAACATTACAGATATTAGTAAATGTAGTGTCAGTAATTCTGGTTCTCATAATATTCCTTCATATCTGTTGTCTTGAGTTTCGTCCATTGTGGCCTTTACTAGTTGAAACCTGTCGAAACGCAGCATTTAATCGTATCCGAGGAGTCTACGGTGAGTCCACGAGACCGTTTGGTGTTTGAGCCGCAACAGACAGGATTAAGGATTTGTTGGTGTCTTGCCACAGAGCCAGTATCCAGTGTAGCGTCTTGTGTTATTCTGCGGGACACTGATGCACACACACCTGCTCCAGCAGCGAGGCAGTTAGAGGGAAACTTTGCACAGAGGAGACTCTTAATGTTTTGTGATCTGTTTCTTCTGAAGAATGAGGCGACCGGAAGCAGTCAGCTGAATCTGTCTGTTCCGATCAGCGGCCTCCTCCCCACTCGCTTTCCTCAGTGCGAGCCTTGTGTGTAGTCGCATCACAACATGAAATTCTCCTTCACATCCTGTTTATTTTCTTATATAACTCTAATGTGTTTTTAATACACCGAGAGCCTGAGTCACTGCGAGAAAAAGAAACATGCAAATAGTCAAAACATCATCAAGAACAGAAACATATTCAGTTTGACGACATTTATACAACAAAATAAGCTTCAATTATCTTCCTGCTGTGATAGATTGTGTGTACAGAACACTTTCTAATGATTATCCTCTAGGTGTAAAGAAATTGTAATAATACCTCAGTAGGCTTCCAGCCGTGTATTGTATGTGTTCCACTTACATCTCCCAGCTTTTACCTCCTTCCCAAACCGACAGCTTACAATTTCAAGAGCCACTTAATCAGGGACGTGATCGTTAAAGACGTCCTGGACACACGCCACCCATCCATCTGTAAGGAGATGAGATCTCACCGGTCTAATGTCTCTGTGTGCCTCCTGCTCTCCTTGTTTATTATCTGGGACGTTTTGTTCTTTGCTGTCGAGCTCTAAACACCGACTGCTACACAATCTGAATTATCGCCACATTTACAGAGGAAATAAAACACATCTTGCTGCAGTGCGCCCTCCCTGTAAGTAACTGCTGAGCAGGTGCATCAGTGATTCACGGAGCTGCTGGTTTCAAATCTGGAAGAGTGCTCTGATTGGACAGGAAATGCGACAAACGATATTGCGCGCAGACGATTGGGTGAGAGACGCTTCTACTCTGATCATTACACAAAATACATGCATAGAAATAAATGTAAGAATCAAACTTAATTGTCTTCTTACACTAAAAACATGTCACTTTAATGATGATTATTTTAGTGTCAGAATATATTATCCCTGTAAGTGATCAGTCTCGGTCTGTGGTGATGCTGGTTGCAGCTTTCTATCTGAAACTGTTAAAGTGACCTGCAGCGAGTAGAGACCTGCTGCAGGACTCGGTCTGCACAACCCTGGAACCTGAAACTCAGTGAAGCTCGACGAATCAGTCGTTGTGTCTCTAACGTCGAGGAGCACAAACTGCCGATCAACATTAAACGTATCACGTGCTCAGATCGCACGTTCTTTGGCCTTTAACAATACATTTGCAGTATGAAGTCGATATTGTCACGTTCCTTTGTCTCTCGCTGTGACAGTTGAATTTCTTATGTGGTGTTTTACATAAAACTCATTAAATCCTAATAAGATTAATTCTCTCTTGTCCCTGATCTCACACACACACACACGCACACGATGCTGTGTCAGCACTTTAAGTTTAGTTCAACACTGCCGGTCACTTCACCTCCATCTCTTTCCATCTTTCTCTCTTTCAGTCATATATGTGACCTTTGTCTCTTTATCCATCGCCACACTATCCCAAACTTTTTTGGATCGTACCCTTTGAGAATGCTGTGTCAGGCGCTTGACTCGGCGCTGCGCTGTAAATCACTCCGTCTCCGCATGCGTCATAAACCTGTGAGGTTTACGACCAATCAGAATTAATGGTGTCAAGGCTGAGATGTTTGGCCAATTAGCAGAGAGGAAGTAATCTGTGCAGTGCTTTCCTCGTGGCCGGGCTGTTGAGAAGGCTGCGGAGGTTACATGGGTCAGACCCATGCAACACTCTGTAAACCGTCCTTCACCAATCAGAGCCAAGATAATGAAAACATGATGTCGCTCCATCAAAAAACAACCTGGTGTGAGCGACTGAGCGTCGACCAACATCGATAAAAAAAAGTTGCTCAAGATAAACTTGCTGAGGTGCAACTCCAATGCATTTTATCGTTGCCACTCTAATTCCGCTGCTTTTTATGGGTCTTGGTAACAATATTGGAAATTACCGGCTCATTAAGAAGAGATTAAAACTGCATTATAAGGTAGATGAGTTGGCGAAAAAAAGTAATCACGCATTGCAGCAGGCACAAAGCAGCATTCAAGTTCTGTCTGTGGATATTGGTCCAGATTTCCCTCTTGTAGCTCTGGTTTTGGTCTCCACACTCATGAAAGTGTCTCATTAACTCACTGCTTCACCTTTCAACATATTCTTCTTTGTGTCTGATGTTATCAGACATTACCTGTATATAGTTTGCCCAATATAGGTATATAGGTATATAGGTTATGTATTAGACACATTTTTTACACAGAAAGAAGATACAGAAATTAATTAAAGGCTTGATAATTTAAAGTAGAGCAGTTTAAATCAAGCAACAGATCTAAGCCCCTCTTTTTATTTACAATCTATGGACGTGAGTTGCTCCAGTGATAAATGGATTTATTAGTAATTCATGATAATCGTGAAATAAAGGTTGCATGGGCAGAAAGAAATCCCTCCGTCTAGAGGGAAATTTAGTTTTCTGAGGGCTGCATATGTCTAAGAAAAAACTTAACAGTGATTTATTTTTAATGAAATTTGAGAAAACCATCAAACAATCTAAACAGCTTGTAAACTACAGCGATCAACACAATGTGTGTTTGTTTTTGCTGCCTCAGGCTGCACAGATGATTGTTTTCCGATCAAAAATTCTTCAGCTCTTTGGCAGCGAGTGGAACGAACCGCCCCATGAATCATTTATGGTTCTCCACAGGGCGCAGCAGTCACTTTTAATGTGTGGGTGAAAAAAAGGATCTCTGTGTGACTCTCTGTCATTTCCTGTCCCAGGTAAAGTTTTCATTTCTGATAACTTCCTGCTGTGTTGTGGACCTGAGCTCTTGTTAATGTGCTACAGCGCTGAATAGGTCAGATCGTACATGAAGCAGACGTCTGCTCTTTTAGTTTCATGTCGAGCAGAATACCCCTGAGAACGAGGCTCTCTGTGAAGTATTAGCATGTTCTTTTCTCGGAGTCTGTTGTTTGACCTTTTCACTTTGTGCTCAGGCGCGACACAGTTGTTTCTCAGTTTTCTAACACTGAACGTTTCAGGGAGGAGTCTTGTTTCCAGTCAGATGTCATGACATTTGTATAAAGGAGGCTGGCAGACACATGGGTCGATTTAAGACAGTTAGTCAGTGGTGACCTTTTCAGTGCAGGAGCAGACTCTAGTGAGACAACTACTTTGGTGTTTTATCCAGCGCCATCTTGGTTTTTTGAAACCAGAAGTCACCATATTTGGAAGAGCTAGGGGTGGAGCCTGACTTACACAGTATCCACGCCCCAATGCACACGGTTCTTCAGGTGAGAGGTGGAGCCGCTGATTTTTGGCTCTGTGTGTTCTTACATCAAATTCTCCTGGATTTCTATGGACATTATACTCAGAGGCCAGGTGGATAAAGTTTATAGAGACTGCGGGGCATCTGTGGTCCCACGTGCATCTGTTTTGATTGGCCTTTACGAAATGCATTTTGATTTATCACAAACGCTGCTCAGCCCAAATAAACCACATGCGCCAAGTTGCTTGCCCTTTACAGTTTCCCTCTGTTTGAAGAAGGTCTTCTCAGGCTACGTTTGCACTCGACGACAGATGTTTCTGCGTCATTAGACATCAAACGATGGATTTTCAGTCACGATGCATCTGATGATAGCTCATGATTCATGATTTGCATGCTTTATGTCACTCATCATGCGGCAGAGAACAAGTGTTTGAAAATATTAATTCAGCCTCCTTCATGCTGACAAATCCAGACTGGATCCAGTGCAAAGCTTAAAAACCTTCGGATCCAGTTTATGTGAGAGATGTCAGCTCCTCTTTCTTCTTCTTTTTTTTTTTTTTTTTACAGTTCACAACATCGGCTGCTCCTGCTGTTTAAAGCCACAAGAAAACAGAAAGGGAAGATTTTTGTTCTGAGGATCGCGTTCATGATGAAAATAAATAAATAAAATAACATTCACATGGGACAGAACGAAAACAAAAGTTTTGTTTCTCGTCCTGAGGCTTGAGACACACTCTTACATAAACAGACACAAATACCAAAGACAAAACCAGACGCACTCAGACACTCAGATAGTTTCATTTTGTTTGTCCAGCAGCAGCTTTTCCATTAGACCTGCTGTCATGTCCACACTCTAATGGACCTGGAGAAAAACTGCATAAAAACAAAGTGGTTTGTGTTCACGGGCCAGACAGGAGCAAATATTATATATAATATAATATCTGCTTTAAACTTATTGTTTTCTTCCTTGTTCCTTGTCTGTGTTTGATTTCGTGGATATGTTTCTGTGTGCAGATTTTCATCGGCGAGGTCTCCATGTATGTGATGAAATCGACGAGGGAAGCTCTGCTGGCCCAGGAGAAAACCATAGTGACGGGAGACTGTTGTTACCTCAACCCCCTCATCCGCCGGATCATACGCTTCATCGGTGAGAGCGGTCTCGTGACAAATACTCAAAACTAGTCATTAGTATTATGATGATAGCATTAGAACAAATTCGGGTTTGGTATCATTTGGGTTTTTACCAATAAAATGTGTAAAATCAATTCGTTTAAAACAGTTCAGAAGAACAGCTTTTTTATTGCTAAAAACAAATTGGAAGTTCAAATTTACACTACTATATATAAATAAGTACAAGTCTTACAGATTTACATTTAAAAAAATCATATAATAAAAAAAACACAATAATTTAACACTAAAACAGTTTCATTGCCTTCTCTGCTCAAAAATTCACACGACCGTGAAGGACAAGGAAAAAACCCCCTTCCATTTATTTCTGTACGGTTTATCCTTTGAGGGTCACTGGGGGGAGCCGGAGCGAATGCCAGCTGACATTGGGCGAGAGGCGCGGAACACTCTTGACAGGTCGCTAGCGTATCACAGGGCCGACATATAAAGACAAAAAATTATTCAAACTCAGTCAATTAAGAATCGCCAGTTAACCTAAACCCAATCTGGACGTCCTCTTTGGAGTGTGGGAGAAAGCTGGATTAGCCGGAGAAAACCCACTGAGGCCGATCCAAGATTCAAACCGGGAAGCCTCTTGCCGTGCCGCCCGAAGGGAAAACCTGAAAAACATGAAATGGGCACTTTAAGTGGAGTTTTCTGCAGTTTGAGCACTAGATTAATGGCTCAGTAACTCCTACTTCTGCAACATCATAACTGTCCCTGTGACTTTCACAGTCTTTCGATAAGTGTTTAGGAGGCAGCTTGCTGTATATCATGGCTGACAGCTGACTGCGGAGGATGCCAGTCACCTGTGACTGAAACTCAAACAGTAACCGATGATTCAGGACTTCTGAAAGTTTGGTGTTTAAGATAAAGTTTGTTCACATTTTCGACATGTGGCGTCACCATAAGGAGAAGACAAGGGTGCAAACGATTCAAGTGTGGATACCCGACCTGAATCGTCGAGGTTCAGACTTACATTTTTAAGTGATAATGGGGTTTCGTCATGTAGGCTGGCCACAAAAAAACAAATCTGTGTATTACGATTTTTCTCTTGGGCAGTTCGGACAGAAGATTGCAGCCCACAAACGATAAACAACCATCACGGTCATCGAGCAGCCAAAGTTCCTCAAACACGACATTAACCATCCAATTTTCAATTTTATAAAAGATTGCCACTCCTACGAGAAGGGCTTCTTTATCTGTTCCATTGAAGGAGGAAGCCCGCCGGACTTTGCATACTCAGAAATGTATTGTTCCTTTTTTTAAATAATACCCCTTCACCGCGCAGAACACTCATCAGAAATTCATTAGGCAATTCATATGATTTATATTTCCCTCTGTTCCAGAGCAATCTGTCACATTCAAAGGATCGCCGAGGCTTTTCGTTTTCCACTCCCTCGCTCCCCGCCCAGCTCCTCTCCTCTCACCCTAATCCCACCCCCCCACTCTCTCTCCCTCTCTCTCCCTCTCTCTCTGCCCTTCACACAATCATGTCCCTGTGCCCCTCACAGGCCCCCGAAACCCTCCCACCCCCTCACGCCCCCGCAGCCCCCTTGCATGAGAATACAAAGCAGAGTAATTTCATGGCTAAGCAGGCCAGATAATCAACAGTCATATTTCACAGTAAGAGGAATTCAGACGCTGGTCAGGGTCAGTGTGCTGTGTCAGTGCAGTCATTAATTTCAGATGCTATTTTTTTTCCTTTGACTTTATGTTGTTGTTTTTTTCCTCTGTGTGTCGTCCACATTGCTGTTTTGATCATGCACCTTGGAAAAGAACAAAAATGCACCACTGTCTTCAGGCCAGGTTTTTGTTGTCAGTTGTTCAAATTCTTTCTGCTTCCACAACATATTGACGCGCAACTAATGTGCCTGACCTCGTCTCATTTTAAGACCATGGTTGCTGTGGTGGTCCATTTGCGGTTTCCAAATTATGGGACAACAACAACCGCGCCATGTGTGGTATTTACACTCTTTCGTTTAAATTGTCATCGTGCCGTATCTGTGTCTCTGTGTGCCCTCAGGTGTGTTTGCATTCGGACTGTTCGCCACAGACATCTTCGTCAACGCAGGACAGGTGGTGACGGGAGGTCTCTCTCCTTACTTCCTGTCTGTCTGCAAACCCAACTACACGGGCACAGAGTGTCGCTTTAACCACCAGTTTATCATCAACGGCAACATCTGCACCGGAAACCCCATCGTCGTGGAGAACGCCCGCCGGTCGTTCCCTTCCAAGGACGCGTCGCTGAGTGTTTACTCCGCTGTTTACCTGACGGTGAGGACAACGAACTTGCACTATTGAACCTGCATGTGGAAATCTAGGTTTTTAAATGCTGGGATTCTCTTTCACTCGCAGTAGGAGGTTCCTTATAATCTTTTATTCCCTGTGAAGAAATAATCCTTTGTTTTTGAGATTTATTTCAGTCAGCTGATGAAAGTTTTTGACATCTTTCCTTTTTGTTTTGCTAATCAATGGGAGCTTTGTACTGTTATGGAATAGTCAAATGTCTGACTCAGTTTCTGTGGGACACTCCCAGTTACTCTGCAGGAGACTCTCTTCCCTTTGACACAGAAATAAAATACTATCTTTTGTATTTTCACATCTTTTGGTTTGATCTCCCTAATATCCTCCTCTTCAGATGTACATCACCAGCACCATCAAGACCAAGTCCAGCCGCCTGGCCAAGCCTGTCCTCTGTCTGGGCACGCTCTGTTCAGCCTTCCTCACCGGCCTCAACCGGGTCTCGGAGTACCGGAACCACTGTTCGGACGTGGTGGCCGGATTCATACTGGGATCGGCCATCGCTCTGTTTCTGGTGAGATCAGCGGAAAAATGAAAACTCTCGGGAGGCTCGGGAACGGGAATAAGAGGGTAGGAGAGAAAGAGAGGGTGATGCTCGGAGGTGGATTCTGGTCATGAATTATACTCAAATTATAATAACAATTTCCAGCTTCATCTTGGAACCGACCCAAACCAGTAATTAAATGATTAATTCGTGTTGCAGCGGCCTGGGTGTGGAGGCGTTTTAAAAGTCAGTCCCGATACAAATGTTGGTCCAAAAATGTTTTTGTAGTTAAACAACAGATTGTTAAATGATATGTGTTGAATGTAGAGGGCTTGTGGTATTAAGTAAGCTGGTAAAGAAAGTAAAAGTCAGGAAGAGGTGATGGGGAGAGGATGTGAAACAGGATGAAGCAGGGTTTAAGATGAGCTTGGACGAGGTTCAGATGCAGGTGAATTTGGAAAGAGGGAGGAAGTTAAGGATTGGGGGGGAAGAGGAGAGGAGAGAAAATACAGAGATGGGACCTGGGTTGCTCCTGAGAAACTTTCAAAAGAGAGAAGTGAAGAAGGGGTAGAAGCATCACAAGAGAGAAGAAAGTTTTTGGGGGAATTTAATTCAGAGATGGAGCAACAAGAGATCGTATTTATCTTTTTCAACCACATGTCATCATAATTAATAAACTGCAACTTAGTTTAAAGTGGAGCTCATCCTCCTGTGATGTGTTGTCAAACAGCTTCCACTGAAAATTAAAAAGGTCTTTGTCAACATCATAGTTTATGCAGGGTGGTGATTATAGCCGAGCCCCTCAAGTTGTTTTGGGGTTGAAGCGGGAAGCCCACTGAGGAGAGGAAGGAAGGTGGAGGGAACCCCCCCCCACACACACACACAAATCAAAAACGAGAGATTTATTGAAGTGTCTCAGAAGCTTCATTAGTTGTAATTGCCGATGGGCCCGTGTGTCAAAGCAGGAAGGAGTGTGAAAGAGAGGAGAGGGAGGAGGAGATGTGGAGGGAAGAAATCAGTGGTTGGTATTTGAACATTGGCTGCTGGTGGCTGATTTGATAACTTATTGATTCAAAGAGCAAGAAGGAGCGATATGAAATGTATGTACAGGAAAAACTCAGATCAATCACAACACAGTTCGTTAGTAAAACTATTAGAAGGTAGTTTTGGTATTATTTTAAACATTACGGAGACAGTATGTATTGACAACCAGTTCTTGCATCTACCATTTTTTTAAGACAGTTGCAATTATCACACCTCACTACAAACCAAGAGTGATCACAGATTTAATGGATGTTGAGAAAGTGAAGGGCAATGAAAAAAATGGCATTTTAAGATTAACGGACATCTTGGCTGGATGGTGAAGAGAGGTTCATAGGTTTCACTATAGAGGACAAATACCTGATAAACCATAGTAGACATTCAGATAACGGTAGATTCTGATTGTAAAGGATACTTTCAGGTTCCCTTGGTAAGTAGAGTTAGGCTCATATTTACCTGTTCTGGTCTTAGTCATTGTGTTTTCTACTAAATTGGTTGGAAGTAGCTAAAAGCCAGTGACCTTCAGTGTCCTCAAGCAGCTTTGTCCTTGGAACACGAGGAGGTGGAGGAGCCACTGCACTCTGCTCTAATGAAGGATATAAGCTTTTAATGATTGACCTATAAAAATTGACATGTTGAGGCAGCGATCTCCTGGGAAAGATGAAAACAAGGAAGTCGGTCATCGCCTCAGCAGTTTTCATCCTTCTCATTTCCAGCGAATTATCAGCAAACCATGAAGTCAAGAATGGCGCCCGCTCCCCCTGCACATGGACCTAATGGTCCTGATGAAGCTTATCAAGGTCTTGTCATCTGAGAGCTGAGGCGGTTTGATGGACTGCTATCTTGAGGGAATTAATTGGCACAAAGACAAGTAGAAAGCAGGTATATCTTAAATCCCTGTGCTAGCAGTGCTCACAGAGAGAGAGTCTCTGTTGGCTCATCAAACTGCACCTGCCATTAGTCTTATTAGAGCTTTGTTCTCTGCCAGCAGATTGAGGGATAAGTCCTAAGCTGAGTGTCCTGGAGCTCCAGGATGATATAGATAAAATCCTCAAAATGGGAGACAGAGGTGTCTGCTTGATCCCAAACAAATTAGAGGTCCATGGCCTCATCTGAGGCTGTGGGAGCCCTTTAAATTTAGAATTCCTATCAACTAAACCTCTATTTGATGCTAGCAAGTTATGTAAAACTGCCATTTTATGCAGGTCAAAAACATATGCATGGGGTCGGTTCAAGCCGGACCTGATTATATGGTGCAACTCTGGATCCTGTGTGCAGACAATTTGCACATTTTTCATTTCAAAGCTCAAAACCACTTTACCACGGCAATAAGCAAATTTCTCTTTCCTTTTCCACCTGAGACAATAGATTCGAGATTGGTAGAGTTCGTCTTAGCATGGGTGACAAGACACAGAAATGGAAAGAAAGCAGTCATCCATGATCTTATGCTGAAAACCAGAGAAAGGATGCCAGGATGTAACAGGATGGTCACGGCACAAAAAAGATAGGTTGCATCCCAAAGTGGATTAGAACAGTGGAGGGAAAATAAAGCAAATCAGTGTCAGAGTTGAGTTGAGCACAAAAGCCTGCACTTTGAACATTTCTGTCCCGCTCAGTCTAATCAACTTAAAGTGGAGATTCAATTTGACAGGGATCATAAAGAATTCAAGTGTTTTTTGTGAAGAGGTGACAGTGACGTGAAGCCTCTTTGATTCATTCGTTTCCTCTGTGTTGGGAAGACAGACTGTCCATGAACTGCCGCAAACATGGAAACCTTGAGGATCCTCCAGGAGAGAATCGCCCGGCTCCATTTTCTCCTTTGCTCCTGCCGCAGGGCATGATTGACCTGGGGGTTGGGAGTCGGAAGGTGGAAAGATCTCCCTCAGGCTGCGTTTTTGATTAACTAGTCCAGGGAGGGGGCTTCAGAAGCGCAGCAAAGAAACTGAGTGACAGGCAAAAACAAGAATTTACAGGAACATGTAATTTACAGGAATTTTAACAGACGTATCAATGAGGAAACAAGTCGACAGTTCTCGGAGCCGAGCACAGATCCACACCACGAAGACAAACATCCCGGGGTGTCTCCTGACTGTGTTAAATGATGGCTGACTTTTGGGCACTTATATGGCAATTTTTTGGTCTTAAGACTGTGGATATTTTTACAGTAATAGCTGTTGTAAAGACAAAGTATGGACCCATGTCTCAAAACAATATCTCAGGTTCCATTAATGGGAGCTGAATATCTCTGTGGCACCGGGGTTGTTTGATTTAAATCACATTTTAATTCAAATGGATTTTTTTTCTCAAAATGAATTAGCTAATTAGCAAATGTAAGTATGCTAATACATTAAACTAAGAGGGTGTGCAAGTTAAACATTATACCAGCTAGACATCAGCATATTAGCATGCTAATGTTGGCATTTAGCTCTAACTCATTGAGTTACAAATTTACCACCAATATAATGCTTGAAGAACTGACAACCTAAAATGACAGAAACCATTTTTAAGGAAAATGTATTTAACATTGTACTTTGATTTTTTTTAGTTTGGTCCATGTCTCATCCACGAACACATGAGGAGACGGGATCTATGACCTATACTGCCGCCATGGAGATGCTTTGCGTTCACTTTCCTGTCTTCCATCTTTATATACAGTCTGTTCATATACAGCTGACACTGTGTTAGCCTCTGCCATTGTCCATCTCACTCTTAACGTTGAACTGTCCTCTTCGCAGGGTATATGTGTGGTGAACAACTTTAAAGGTGTCCACAGTGCAGCAGCCAAACAGAAGACTGAAGAGTACCGCGGCCTCCCTCTAATGACTTTCCCCCGTGTGGAGAGTCCTCTGGAGACCCTCAGCGCACAGGTAGCTAAAAACACTTAACCCGGAATCCCCAAAACTTTAATCTCCACAATGTGCATTATCTTTCCCCATTAATTGGTAGAGCTCCCTCGTGGCCTTCAGCTTAAATGAAAAAACTCCCCCCCTCCAGATACTTTTAATTTAGTCTAACGGAATTTGGTTTGTACTGTAATTTGTTGTAATTTACTTTTTTCTGCTTCAGTTGGTCATTTCTTAGAATTACTGAGATAATTAATTGACTAAAGAGAGGGATTCAGTATGAATCAAATATTTAGTTCACCATATGTGTTCTTTCTTTCTTTCTGTTCTTTCTTACTTTCTATTCTATTCTATTCTTTCTTTCTTTCTTCCACACAAAGCATTGACACATGTTCAGATTAATATACAGGCATGATATTTTGCACGCCCACCCTGTCCTCCCTCCCACACACGGACACACATGCTGTGACCTCACACAGTGATTTCCTCTACCTTTTCCTCTCCACTCCCTTTCCCTCTCCTTCCATTTTCTGTGTTTCCCTCTCCACCTCTCCTCCCACGTCCATTCTCAGAACCATTCGGCATCGATGACGGAGGTCACATGACTAAGGGGGCAGCACCGGGTCACGTTTGCGTCTCCACAGCACTTCCAGACACAATGACGAGGACGCATGCCACGTGGCGCCGATTGCTTGACGAGAAAAAATAAAAAACACTCCTGATATATCTGTTTCATTCACCTGGGGGATAGAAGACACCATGTTTGTAATGGTTCTCATCTAGTTGGGCTTTGCTCAGTTCAACCCGCCGAGGCACCCTGATCGCATCAAAAATATCACAAGACAAACTCGAGCACAGTTTTTCTTTTTCCAGATATTTAAAACCATTTGAAACATGGGATGTGTTTTCCCTCCATGGTGGTTTGTAGTTAGAGGACAGTGTTTTGTACATTTTTGTATGAGCGAGTGCTGTAGCCTATCCTGACGGTGTTAAACCTGCACACTTCCTGTCAGCTGACTCACTCTGTTTTACATCACATCCTGCCAGGTCGTCGATCACCACATTCGTCCCTCTGAGTCTGAAAAATCTGCTATGAAAAAAAAATCTTGATGTTGTCGTTCCGTGATGTTTGTCCTTTGTACAGGAAAAAAAAAGACAGAATCCTTCTTTTTATTATCTCTCTGTACATTACTTGACCATGTCAGGTCATATTTTGTAAAGATTTTTGTTAATCTGTTTGACTATTCTGATCCGTTTGGACCTGTTTGCCTGCTGTAAACCTGGATATGTTATGGTATCAGTTTAAGTGTTTTGGGGAATGATTCCCTCTCTCTCCTTTGGAGGAAATGACAAGGAAGAGTCAGTGACGTCCTCTGAGTCTTATGGAAATATGATCTGTAAAAATGATCTCGATGGGTGTGTTTCACCCCAATTTCCTGATTCACTGTGATGTTAATAGAAACTGCTGAACAGAGATGTGTGGTGGGGCTAGTCTGTGCCAGATCTACCTGAAATTCCACTGGTGTGGCTTTACAATTGAATTTGAATCCCAATGGAAGATGTTCTAATAAAATATGTGGGGAAAATAAAAAAACAGACAGAAACTGATTTACTAAGGCCCGGCTAGCCCTCCTAATGGAAACCAGGCTAATGACTCCTGCTTCACTTTTCCTCCTTGAGGCTCCCCTCCCCCTCCCTGAGCCACCAGTGGATTGTGATGCAATGTTGTGACTCCATTTCCTATTGGAAGATAACGCCCAGCATGAAGAGAGAAGTCAAGATGTTTTATAAATATTAATGATTTGAATTATGCTCATCGTCATCATCATCGTCATTGTGATTATAATCATCTTTTACTTTGAAAATAAAAAGCGTTTCATTTGAAATGCTGCATATATTTTTTTTTCTTGCTTTTGTCCACGAATTAAATAGTCAGTAGCAACAAAGTGTTCTCTTGTGTTTTTTATCATGTGTCAGAAATTCACCAACAAGCAGGATAACAGGTTAGAATCATACAGAGGCAACGTTAGCATCGTCTGACTGAAATAACCGAGAGTGGAGGATGTTTTCTCTCTGGTGTTGATGTGCTGGAAATAAACACATGATATCAGCAGCTAAATTTAAACATGTCTTGCCCCGCACACGCTCTTACAAGACGCCACCTCTCACCTGAACTCTTGCTATCGATCTCTCTCCGACAATCTCTTGCTGCGTTCATGGCAAACTTCATGTCTGAATTCATTTTAGGAGAGACTTACAGAGCACGAGACACGGACATGGTGACAACTACGTCCATCTACCTTATCAGTAAGGTCATATCCTCGAGAAAGAAACTGAACTATTGTTAATACTAAATGATATTTATTGTGACAGATGCACAGAAGAATGGCCTAACAGCTAAGTTAGGAGCAAAACATAATTCTTCTGCGAGCTTGTGTTTAAACAGGCCCTCAAAGAGTCTGTGTGTGAATATGAATTTAGTCCAGCTCCTGCTCTTCACACCACAGCCCTGTCCACACACACAAACTCAACCCAGACAAGAGATAAAAACGAGCAGGGATTCGTGATAAAACCATGAAGCTCTTATTTAGGCTTTCTGTCGATGCATCCTGTTACGACTGAGTCGACTCTGGTGATGTCTGTGCCACCGCTGAGCAAAGGTGCACAGACACACACATGCACACACGTGCACGCTGTCACAAAGGAAGCTGACAGCTCAGCCGGTGCACTTGCTCTTTTGCTCCGTCAGGCATTCATTTCAGCTGTGACAGCCTGTGCTTGCAGACACACTGGCTAAATAGATAGGTGTTGCTTGTGTGCAAGTGTGTGTTGCAGTTGTATTTGACCGTGCCGTGTGTTTTTAAATTGTCAGCCTTGGCTCTTCGGAATGTGCCTCCCTGTCTAAATTGCTGTCCTCGAGCAACACGGGTGAAAAACGACAACCAAACACTGTTTCCAGGTGGTGTGCTGGTTGTGAACGGCTGCAGGGTGTTTTTTAAAATCGTAATGGAATCTTTTTCAATGGGAGGAAATGAACAACTGCAGGTACATAGCAATGCCCCCCCAAAGATATCCAGTAAATAAATCCAGCACACACAGTGTAATGTGATTGCTGTGCTCTGGCCGTCAGCCATCGTCCCTCTGCTTTCACTGACTCATCTTTGTCTGACTTACAAGGGCTCATTACCCATCAGTGAAGGCAAGTAGCTCTAATCCTTAAAAAAAAATCATGATGGTCGTTGAGCTCGTCAAGCCTCTGCTTTTCTTCGGAGTAACTTCCTCTCATTGCCAGAAAAGAAGGTGGTGCTGCATACCTATACCTGTTCCCAGCATCGAGGCGTACTTTTTAAAAGCTGAACTCAGGCTCCACATTGTACCGTATGTATATATACTGGAAATCGTGACATTCAAACATTTCAGGTTCACAAAAGACAAAAGAAGAAAGGCTGCGATTCAATTAAGTGCAAAGAAGAGAGGTAATTTTTAATAACGCAACACATCCAAACCCAAACAGAAAAGATGCAGAACAGAGAACAGATCTCAGCACACAGGGTGACTGTGTCAGTTGTGAATTGTTCATAGTTAAATAACCTGTCAGAGTTCAACTAGTGGTCTGCATGTATGTGACAGTTACATTATACATATTTGACAACAGGGTTGTACCAGAAATGAACTGGTAGACCAAAGACCACAGGTATCACATTAAAAGTTTTTTGCTTTGGTCCCTGACTAGAAAAGCTGTGGACCCTTTTTCTATCAATTTGTACATTATGACTTCTCCAGATCACATGTTGCTAGTCAAACTCTGACAAGTTAAATAATGCCTTGTAGGTGCTGCTTTAGTAAAATACTGGAAGTGCAACCGTGAGGTGCAGGACAACATTATACAGTGACCCATAAATAAGGTTTTGTATAGACCACCACACGATGCCAACCAGAGGTTCTTGATGAATACAGAGGTGTCTTGCCACAACTTTATATCTCTTTTTTTTTTGTTTTTCTATTTGTAACAACCCTGAATGAACAGATCAGAAATTAATGCCCAAACTCAAATGAAACACTCATTGTTAAAGGCCAGGAACATTTAAACGTCAATGGTAAAGTCAACCAATCACCAGCAGTTCGTCTTTCCCCCACTGAAAGATACAAGGTTTAAGCAAGACACAGGCACATTAAGACTTAACTGGCTGGGTTCAACCACAGGTCACTTTACACTCTAAATGAGTCTCGACATTGGACTCAAGTGAATTAGCCCATTAAGCTTAAATACCAAAGTGTCTTCATATCTATGATCAAGGTATCATCATAGCAAGCAAATCTGTGCCCTTGAAGAGACAAAGCTTAGAGGGAAGGGATGAAAGGGACAAACGTTTAGGGTGGAGGGGGGATGGAATGGAAAAAATTGCAGGATCGGGTAAAGGGTGAAAAGAAGGTGAAGAAAATGAAGGAAAAGATGTTGAGAAGAGGATGGGGATGCACAACTCTTCAGCAACAAGCTAGAAAGAACAGATTTGGTTCAGGATCCCTGGTTCACCTTTGTTCAGTGCTTCTCGTCTTTTTAAAATCCCAGAGGTCAGGAAATGTCCGAAAGGAGATACAGAGCTGGATCTGACCCCTGGGGAACATCTCAGTCCAGCGTTCAGGGGAACTCCAGAGCATCAGGGAACATTTAACCTCCAGAAATCTGTGAAGGTTCCTACTCCAGAACTCAGGCAAGTGTTCTTTTTCCAGACAGAGGTTCTAGAAACTCGTCCTGTGTCTAACCAGGTGCCTCTTGGGAAAAAAACAGAGGCAAAAGCTTCAGAACTCCGGGAGTGTGTTTGTGTGTTGGTTAGTCTGTTGGTGGGACTGGGTATACTGAGCAAACTGGTTGGACTGGAGAGTAGAGGCCTGACTGGGTGCAGTCTGGTTTGCTTGCTGGTTTTCTGATTGGTACTGTTCTAGCTCTCTCTTCCTCCTCATCGCTGACTGCAGCTGTTGCTTGATTATGAGGATTTGACCCTCAAGTTCTGACAGCTCCTGAACCATGGGGTTGCGCCCCACACTCAGGCCGGGGGCGCAGTCAACCATGCCCAAACCCCGGCACTGTGCAAGGCCCTGTCCCGAGCCCCCCTGACCCGGCCCCATCCCTTGGCCCAAGCCTCGGCCTAACAGATCGGAGCGACCGTTAGATGTGGTCACGATGGGCATGTGTTTCTCTAGTAGGGGAAGAGAGTGGGGGTGAGGAAGGGCTGATGGGGGTGGTGGAGGAGGGAGATCCTGGGAGGACGGGCGTTCCAGGTCATTCTGCATCTCTTGAGGAAGGACCCTTCGCCTGTTGCAGTGGGACGACTCTGCAGGATTCCAGGATGCTGACTGGTTGTTTCCCTCGTTGCACCTAAAGATAAAACAGATACACAGAGAAATGTAAGTATGATAATAAATGTAAAACGTAAGAACTCTACTGTTCGGACTGGATCTTATGAGGCTGAATCCTACAAGTAAACAGTACCTCAGATGACACCTCTCTCCACTACTTTTTTGTGATGCAGGCCACTCCTGACGACACCAGCAAAGTTAAACCAACTTGATTTGATGCTCTTTGGCTCCAAAATGACATTTAGCTGTATTTTTTAAAATTAAAAACTTTATCAAGATCTCGTGTGGGCGGGCTTGTTGTGGTTAAAGGTTTGCAGACTGGTTAGAATAAAGTGTTAAGTTTCCTCTCACCTCATGTCTCATTACTAACCAGGTTTCTTTCAACATGAACATTATAATTTAGCAACATTGTGAAGCTAATGTTCTGTGCTTTGTGACAGGTGCAGCAGCCAACAGCAACAAATGAATGAGGTGATACCCGGCAATGTCATAATTATATCATTGCTGAAATAAAATGTAAATAAACACAGAATTTAGATTTTATTTTTTTAACGAATAGGCCTCCACAAGCAGGTAAAAAAGAAAAAGAGCGAGAAGACCTTGAGTGTCAAGGCCTACAGGTGGAAATAAAATTCGTGTCCAATTAATTTCCTCCAGCTCCAGTCGTGATCCCACCTACCTTCATCTTTAAGCTAATGAGCACCAGCAGCAGTAACATGGGCTGAGGGGGTGAAGACTCAGTGTGACACAACATCATGAATGTCATGTTCTATTCAGGCTTAAACATATATCAGCCGACGCTCAGGATCAAAACACTACACTTCTCTTCATGCTGCTCCAGAGACTAACGGAGGAGCCGAGCGATTCTCAACCTCTCTCCATCGTGCAGCCTTTGTCCTGCCTCCTCCTCAAATCATTTATTCTTTATCATATAACAGTTTCACAGACCATGGAAGAGAAATATATAAATTTATGACACACTCATGTTTCAGAGTTAGACAAACTCGGGGTGGGGAAACGCAGATGTGTCAGTTCCTATGAAAGCATTGACCATGAAAATAAAAAAATGAATAACAAAATAAAAAATATCAGCATGTGAAAAGAAGAAGGTCAAAAGAAAGTGGCATCTGCAACACAAAGTTCAGAGAGACTGGATTCAAGAAGGTTTTTACTTGATTCATTTGCAAAGTTTATCTTCTATGTTCAATAGTTTTATGTTTTGTAGCCTGACGATGTTGTGAAATATCAATTTTATGAGGTGTTTTGGTTTTTAGATTAATATTTACTGTATGGACATTTACAGAGAAACAGACAAACAAATAAAAAAATGCTGCAAACAAATTACTTTGTGTGATTAAATTATATTCATGGAACCCTTATATAATTTGATAATTTAAATTAATCTATATTGTTCTATTTTATGTATTTATTACTTGTATTTTGCTTCTTATGATTAATGATAGCTTGACATTTAATTTTAATTGCTTTTTTTATGTTGTTTAAATAAGGTTTATTATTCAAAAATATCTTCATATTCATTTTTCAGAGAAAAACCTTCTACTAAAGCAGATAAATAGG